TGCCACTGGAAGAAGACACAAGAGGAAGGCCACTGTGAAGAAGGGCAGCAAGGTCTTTGTATCCCTCGTGGAGCAGAGCATTGTAGAATGAAATGTAGGCCCCGTTGTCTTTATTAAGTATCATCGTAATTAAAGCAGCCGCTCGCTGATATTGAGTGGTCTGAAAAAAATCCAAGAGTGCGAGAGCAGAGCAGTGAGTACATCTGCAGCACACATTAGGAGAAGAGTGTGGGCTCTCAGAGGACTGGAAACGCTAAAGAAGCCCAGGATCCGCAGAGGGCTTTACCTGACTTTTCACCTTTTCCTCCTCGACTATTGTTAAAACGCTGTCACTGATCATGTGGTCCATGATGTAGGACGTCTTGATGTCCTTTTCCAGAGCTTCTCTATGTTGAAGCAAACAATTCCGGGCCTTTGCATCCATTGTCCCTCAGTCCTTTTTCTCCCTTCACTGTCAGGCATGAGCTACAGGCCAAGTGTCGAGATATCTGTCATGACAAGAAACACGATATGTGATCAAGAAATGTAAAGAAAGCAAGAATGGGAGGTGGGGGGTGCTGGAGATAAGGTTTGTCCGTTTAGCCTTGGTTGTCTGGAAACTAGCTCTATAGACCAGGCTGGCCTCAAACTCAGACAATCTCAGAGATCCACCTGCCTCTGCTTCTCAAGTGCTAGGATTTGAGAAGTGCTAGCTTCTCAAAAGCTAGATGTGCCACTACCACCTGGCTTTTTATTATTTTTAAATTATGGTTATACATACACACACACACACACACACACACACACACACACACACACATTGGTTTTTTGTTTTGAGACAGGGTTTCTCTGTGTAGCTTTGGTGCACGTCCTGGCTCTCTCTCGCCTCGAACTCACAGAGATCTGCCTGGCTCTGATGGTTTGTATTTAAAGTGGAACATTACACAGTTATTTAAAATTACATGGCACATATCTCTATGCAGCATATATACTGACAAGGAAAGATGTTCCTGAGAAATAAAACCTCAAATAACACAAAATGTGTTTTAGCTCAAAAACATACAAGAAGATGCTTAAAAGTTTGTTCTTCAAAGTATTTGGGAGATTTTCTTCTTTTGTAATTTTTAGTGTCTTTTTTTCAACAGACATTGGCATTTTTTAAAATAAAAAAAAAATCTTCCTTTTCTTAATTCCTGTAAAAGTTACCATACCTACTTCCTAATGTTTCAAAACTTGTTTCCTTTATCCAACCTACCACTGAGGGGCGTTAGTGGCACTGCTGATCTTAGTTCTCAAAGTAGATATCAACCGCAGATCTTCATTACTAAGCACATCCTCACAGAGCCACAGGAAATACCCTCTGACGTCATTCCTCGGACTATAGTAACAAGGAATAATATTCTTTACAGAAAGATATTTCTATTTCCTAACAACTTCCCTAAAATATAATGAAAATTAGTAAGGGTATAATTATAGCCCATTTCTGAATGTTTGCAAGCTCTAAACACATAAGCAGAGCTCCATCCAATGTTATTAAAGTGTGAATGTCTTTTTTTGTTTGTTTGTTTTTCGAGACAGGGTTTCTCTGCGTAGCTTTGCACCTTTCCTGGAACTCACTTGGTAGCCCAGGCTGGCCTCGAACTCACAGAGATCCACCTGCCTCTGCCCCCTGAGTGCTGGGATTAAAGGCGTGCACCACCACCGCCTGGCGTGAATGTCTTAAATAGACTTAATTATTCCTTCAGTGCATGCTGTGTGTGTGTGTGTGTGTGTGTGTGTGAGAGAGAGAGAGAGAGAGAGAGAGAGAGAGAGAGAGAGAGAGAGAGAGAGATATGCTGGGGACTGAACCCACCGCCTTATTTTGCATGGTGGGTAAACAATCTCCTACTAGTGCTGCATAATCTCAGCCCTCTTTCAAAACAAACTGAGGCCTTCCTGAGACTAGAGAAGATTAACTCATAACCAGAAGGAATTTACAGTCTAGTAGAACAGAAAGAGAGGTAATCACAATGTGACCGTTCTACATGCAAAACCAGAGATAGGCACAGAGTAATTTAGAGAGCTCACAAGAGGGGTATCATTCAACTTAAAAACAAAAACAAAACTTTTTTTTTTGAAAAGTCATCAAATGTAGCACTTGCAAAAAGAAAAAGCATCTGTTTGTGCTTTTCAAGGTTCACAGAATGCCTAGGAATGGGATGAAATTAACTGAAGAAATCAAAGGAAAAAAAAAAAAGAAATCGGAAACAAGACTACCAGTTTCAATGTTAACACTGACAGTTGTGACAGTTGTGAAATTCATTCTGACAAAGGATATTAGGTTATGTCTAATAGTTAAGGAAAAAACACACCTCGGCAACTAATTCCCAATTTCCTCGAGCCTTATAAAACTCAAATATTAGATTTTAAACACTCCTTTCAAACTTCACCCAAACTGAAATGTAATGCTATGGGAAAATTCCCAGTGCCACACCCCTTGGAGGGCCACATCAAGAAAGTCAAACTGAAGTCTGCCTGTCCAGGAAAACAGTAACAGTGGTCTACTTCCTCCTTAGATAATTTCTCTTCCTGACCCAGGAGCAGGATGGTTAACCAATATATCCCCGCGTTCCCTCACCTTCAGTCCCGGGGTTCGACGACAGAACTCGCGAAGAACCTGTCTGAAGGGGGTCGGGGAGAGGAGAGGAGGGGAAGGAGGCGAACTCACCCAAGCCTTGGCACCGGGGTTGTGCTGGGAAGAGCAGCTCCGGGAGGGTCAGAAGCTGATGATCACCACCGATCGTCCTAGAGCAGCCCGGGCATGCAGCGACCCCGCGCCCCGGGCAGGTCCTGATACCTCACCTGGGTATCGGCCGCTCGGGGCGCAGGGGGATGCCCGGGACTTCCGAGCGGCGACCTGCGGCGGCGGCGAGGGGTGGTCACCTCGGCGTGCAGACCCCACAGCTTGCCTCGGGCCTTCACCGGAGCTAACCTCGACCCGGGACACAAAAAGCACCGCCACTCGGGCCGCCGCTTCCCAAACCCTCCGGCGGGAGCTGCCCGGGCGGGAAGCGGGCGCCGCTCGGCACGCTGCTGCCGCCGACCGTCTCCGATGGGATCGGCGCGGGTCGCGGACGGCACACGCCTCCCGCGGCCGAGCCCCCTCGCTCTTCACACCCTCGGAAGCGCGGAGGAAGCCAGGGACCCGTCCGCTCGCCGCCTCCGGGTCTCCGCCTCAGGCCCGCGGAGCGCTCAAACACAGCGCCGGGGCCCCGCCCAGTCCGGACGCC